ATGGGTGTTGGGTTTTGTCAAATGCCTTTTCTGCATCAATTGATAAGCTCCTGTGGTTCTTGTCTTTTGTTTTATTTATATGATGGATTACATTGATTGTTTTTCTATTGTTGAAGTATCCCTGCATACCTGGTATGAATCCCAGTTGGTCATGGTGGATTATTTTTTTAATATGTTGTTGAATTCTATTGGCTAGAATTTTGTTGAGGACTTTTTATCTATGTCATAAGGGATATTGGTCTGTAATTTTCTTTTATTGTAGTGTCTATGCCTGGTTTTGGTATCACTGTTATGCTGGCTTCATAGAATGAGTTTGGGAGTATTCCTATTCTATGCTCTGAAATACCTTTAGTAGTAGTGGTGTTAACTCTTCTCTGAAGGTTTGGTAGAATTCTCCAGTGAAGCCATCAGGGCCAGGGCTTTTTTTAATTGGGAGTTTTTAAATTACCTTTTCAATCTCTTCTTTTGTTATAGGTTTATTTAGTTGTTCTACCTCTGTTTGTGTTAGTTCAGGTAGGTAGTGAGTTTCTAGAAATTTGTCCATTTCCTCTAGGTTTTCAAATTTGTTAGAGTACAATTTTTCATAGTGTTCTGTTATGATTCTTTTGATTTCAGTTGGGTCTATTGTGATATCACCCATCTCGTTTCTTACAGATTATTTCCTTCCTCTCCTGTTTTCCTTTGTCAGTTTGGCCAATGGTTTATCAATTTTGTTGATCTTTTCAAAGAACCAGCTTTTGGTCTTGTTAACTGTTTCAATTGTTTTTCTATTCTCTATTTCATTTAATTCTGCTCTAATTTTTGTTATTTCTTTTCTTCTGGTGCCCGAGGACTTCTTTTGCTGCTCTCTCTCTACTTGTTTGAGTTGTAGGGTTAATGGTTTGATTTTGGCCCTTTCTTCTTTTTGGATGTATGCATTTATTGCTATAAATTGACCTGTGAGGACTGCTTTTGCTGTGTCCCAAAGGTTCTGGTAGGGTATGTTTTCATTCTCATTTGATTCAGTGAATTTCTTTATTCCATCCTTAATTTCTTCTATAACCTAGTAGTTTTTGAGAAAAGTGTTGTTCCATTTCCATGTATTTGTTTTTTTCCTTGTTTTTTCTGTTATTGATTTCTACTTTTATGGCTTTATGGTCAGAAAAGATGCTTTGTAACATTTCAATGCTTTGGATACTGTTCAGGCTTGCTTTGTTGCTTAATATGTGGTCTATTCTGGAGAATGTTCCATGTGCTTTGGAAAAGAGTATACTTGGCTGCTGTTGGGTGGAGTGTTCTGTATATGTGTATGAGATCAGGTTGGTTGATTGTGGCATTTAGATCTTCTGTGTCTTTGTTGAGCTTCCTTCTGGATGTCCCGTCCTTCACCAAAAGTGGTGTGTTGAAGTTTCCTACTATTATTGTGGAGCTGTCTATCTCTCTTTTCAGTGCTGTTAGAGTTTGTTGTACTTATTTTGGATCCCTATTGTTGGGTGCATATATATTTATTATGGTTATGTCCTCCGGGTGTATTGACCCTTTAATCATTATATAGTGTCCTTCCTTATCCTTTGTGGTGGATTTTGCTTTAAAGTCTATTTTGTCAGAGATTAATATTGCCACTCCTACTCTGTTTTGATTGTTGTTTGGTTGATATATATTTTTTTCCATCCTTTGAGTTTTAGTTTGTTTGTGTCTTTAGGTCTAAGGTGTGTCTCTTGTAGGCAGCATATAGACAGTGTTTTTTTAATCCATTCTGCCACTCTCTGTCTCTTTATTGGTGCATTTCGTGCATTTACATTCAGTGTAATTATTGATAGGTATGAGTTTAGTGCTGTCATTTTGATGTATTTTTGTGTGTGTGTTGTTGACAGTTTCTTTGTTCCACTTAATTTTCTGTGCTGAGTCGTTTTTCTTTATGTGTTTTCTTTTCATCTTTTTCATTGTCATTGATTTGTATTTGCTTTGAGTCTTTATGTTTTTCTTGTTTTTTTTATTTTGATGTATAAGATTGTTAGTTTCCTTTGTGGTCACCTTAATATTTACCCCTATTTTTCTAATTTTATACCAGTCTTATTTCTTTATATCTCCTTGAATTCCTCTCCATGTGAAAGATCTATTATTACATTTTTTAGTCCTTTTTTTGTTTTAATGTTGTCATCTTTTACATGTTGATGTCTCTGTGTCCCTATTTTTAGTGTTTTAGCTTCGATTTATTTTTGTGACTTCCCTATCTAAGTTGATATCTGGTTGTTCTGTCCTGTGTTCTAGTCTTGGGTTGTTATCTGATGTTACTGATTTTCTAACCAGAGGACTCCCTTTAGTATTTCTTGTAATTTTGGTTGGGTTGTTACAAATTCCCTATACTTCTGTTTATCTGGAAATGCCCTAATTTTGCCATCATATGTGAGAGACAGTTTTGCTGGATATATAATTCTTGGCTGGCATTTTTTTTCCTTCAAGGCTTTATATATGTCATCCCATTGCCTTCTTGCCTGCATGGTTTCTGCTGAGTAGTCTGAGCTTAGTCTTATTGACTTTCCTTTGTAGATGACTTTCCATTTATCCCTAGCCACTCTTAAAATTCTCTCTTTATCTTGGTTTTGGCAAGTTTGATTATAATATGTCTTGGTGACTTTCTTTTGGGATCTACCTTCTGTGTGGTTTGATGAGCATTTTGGATAGGTATTTTGTCATCTTTCACGATATCAGGGAAATTTTCTGTCAACAAATCTTCAACAATTCTCTGTTTATTTTCGGTTATCCCCCCACCTTCTGGTACTGCAATCACTCATAGGTTATTTCTATTGATAGAGTCCCACATAGTTCTTAGGGTTTCTTCATTTTTTAAAGCTCTTTTATCTGATTTTTCCTCAAATAAGTTGGTGTCAAGTGCTTTATCTTCAGTCTCACTAATTCGATTTCCATTGCCTCAATTTTGCTCCTATGACTTTCTACTGAGTTGTCTAATCGTGAAATTTTATTGTTAATTTTTTGGATTTCTGTTTGCTGTCTCTCTGTGGATTCTTGTAGCCTGTTAAATTTGTCATTATGCTCTTGTATAACCTTCTTAAGTTCCTTTATTGCTTTGTCTGTGTGTTCCTTGGCTTGTTCTGTGTTTTGTGTGATCTCCTTCCTGATCTCTTGAAGAGTTCTGTATATTAATCTTTTGTATTCTACCTCTGGTAATTCGAAGAAGTTCTCTTCTTCCAGAAGATTTCTTGATTCTCTGTTTTGGAACTTGCTGAAGCCATCATGGTCTGCCTCTTTATGTGATTTGATATTGACTGTTGTCTCTGAGTCATCAATAATTTATTGTATTTATTTATTTTATGTTTGCTTACTGTGTCCTAGCTTCTTGTTTTGTTTTGATATGCCCGAATAGTCTGGTTGTGTGAGCTATTTTGATTATTGGCGTCTTTAAAATGCTCATATCCTGTCTCCAGGTGGCTAGAGCAGTTACTAGGTATGTGAGCCCCGGAGTCCATTTACTTTTCTTGTGTGGATTCAGCTCTGGTGTCCAGGTCATCAGTCACTGAGTGTGTGGTGCAGGCTCTCACCTACAGTAGTAGATGGGTGGGGTGATTGGAGTAGGCACAGGTATCTGGATGCAGTAGGGGGTCATGTGCCAATCAACGCAGGGGACTGACAGCTACCCTGAGTGTCTGAGTGGAAGGCACGTCCCTGTTGCCTACAGCACGTTGGTAGGCGGGTTTTGCAGCTGGACTATGGGCACCCAATGCTGTTGGCTGTAAGGACTGGGAGTCACTACTTATTCTTGGACCCCTGTAGCGGGTGGCTTGTGGTATGGGCGGAGCCACCAGTCCTCAGGCCCCGGCTGTGGATAGGTAAGGACCCTGCTTAATGGGCAGGGTAGTGTCAAATGTCATGAATCTGCCCCTCCCCCTTATAGCTGATAGAGAAGAAAATCGGCTTCAGGTATATACCCTGTAGTACTGTGCTAACGAGGGCCTAGGCTGTTGAAATGGGCCCACACAGGTCTATGCAGGGGTGACAGGCATTCAAAGTCTGTAGACCCCTTATGCCTGTGCCTAGGCAAAGGGGCTGTGTCTGCCCTGAGTTCCTGGCTTAAGGGAGCTGGCAGACTATTTTTTTCCTGTTTGTTAATTTGTTCCCTCTCCAAAGCCAGGAGAATGGCTCAGGGCACACAAAGTTTCCTACTTCCAGCCCAGGGGGGCTCAGCAGTGGTTGAAGCCAGACCAGGACCTGGAGCAGAGCAGGGAGGGAGCAGGTAAATGGGAGAGAGTTACTTCACAAAATGGGGGGGGGGTGATCTGTGTGGTAGGTTTAGACACTTGTACTTATTTTTCACCAATAAGCACCATTTCTTGCCGGTTCTGGAGGCTTGAGCAGTCACTCCACTTCTTGGTCTCTCCCGATGTGGAAAATGCATCCCAAGCACCACTGCTTGCCTCACCCCTCACGTGCTAGCTAATCCAGCCTTCAGCGTGCTGGTGCCGGCCAGGTCAGGTCTGGCACCTCCTCGCTGCTTCTGAACCATCTCTCCCTCCCCCTGCTGCTCAGTCCGATTCCTCAATTTTGTCTTTGATGTTCAGGGCTGCTAGATTGCGATATATAATTGATTCACTTGTTTCTTTGGGTCTTTGTTGTAAGAGGGACCACAGGAAGCATTTGACTACTCTGCCATCTTGGCCCTACCTCCTAGGATCTCTTTTTTTGAAATGCTCTTTTTGACAATGAACATGATGTCATTCCTCTTCAATTTGTCCTTCCCAGCATAGGATGACATAGGACTGGGCAGTGTTTCGTTCTGTTGTACAGAGTTGCTATGAGTAGAACCTGACTCAGAAGCACCTAACAACAATAACAAGTAAATGAAAGAGAGGCAAACAAAAAAATGATCGAATGGAGCAGACCCCCTACTCTACTCTAACACCCTCCACACTGGATGCTGATGTGAATGAGCAATAAGCTTTTATTGTACCATAACACAGAGACTTCGGGGTTTGCTTGTTACTGCAGCAGAGTCCATCTTGTCTTTACCACAAAGAATCATACCACAAGCTCCCTTCCTGCTGCAGTGCTTGACAGATCTGAGCAGAGGGAAGGTGGTAGTTAAAACAAATTCCAGGAATAGCGATAATCCTAAAACTCATTGAAAAGAAAAACTCATGCATCTTCTGGAATCTGAGGCTCTAATAAAGGCCAAGGGCACCAAGAGTACTGCAGTGCAGTGGTAACCAGAACGATCTCACTGTAGCCCTGGTCCCAGGCAAACTGGAGGACAGTCCTGATCAGGGCTTTCACCATCCCCTGACCACAGTGCTCAAAGGCCACACAGAGGTGGAATAGCTCCTACTGCTTCCTCCACAAGGTTATATCCTCAGCTGGCAGACATCCCACCATGCCCACCACCTGCTCCTCACACTCAGCAACCCGGAAGTAGGAACACTGCTCACTGAGGTAGGTTTTGGTGATGTCAGACATGTCTGTGTTCAAAGCTCTGACTTCATACTTGGCCCAGGGATATTTGGTAAAGAACTTCAGGAGAGTGAGAAGGGCAAGGCTCGCCATGAAGGCCAGGAGGCAGGAGCCAGAGAACAGGAATAGGACTTGGGACCCTTTGAGTAATAGCACAAGCATTTGGGGCAGCCTCAGCAAGTGGCAAAAGGTGATGGGGACGTGCTCAGTCAGTCCCGTGGAGAAAAGGTCCGGGATCCCTTTGCAGTCGCTCTCCTGGTATTTGCGGATGTGGTAAGGAGCCATGGGCAGACCTCTGTGTCTGAAATCTCAAAGTCCACAAGAGAGAGCTAGTCAGCCCTGGGGAGGAGAGAGGCAACCATGTGAGTGCCCCACATCTCTCCCACCAATGGCTCCCAGCCTCCAGGACCAGGAAGGCTCTGCTCAACCATCCTCCAGGACCAGGAAGGCTCTGCTCAACGGTGTGTCTTTCTGCTTTGGCCCCAGGCCACTACTACTGGGAGGAGGGGACAGTCAGAAAGACCTGCATTAGAATCCTGGCTCCATCCCTGTCTAGTGTGTGATCTTGGCAGAGACAGTTTACTCAATAAACAAGGTAAGCTCAGGCTTAATTGTGCTTACTTACTAATCTGTAGTGCACGATTTCAACTAGGTTTTTCCACATCAAAGACAGACAGGGCAGATGTGGTGAAACCCATGTGAAATTATGCAGTACAGATTAGTAAGTAAATACAATTAAGCCCGTGAACATCTTGCTTCCTGGTTAATCTGCCCCTGGATCTTGGACACGTTATTTAACCTCTCTGAGCCTTGGTTTCTTCATCTGTAGAAGAGAGTAAAGAACCCGTACTACTTGGGTTGTTTTAAGGATTTAATGGAATAATTTATACAAAATGTTGACACAAAGTCAGTGCCCACCCCCTTTTTTCCTCTTTTACTGGCTCTCTCACCTTCCTGAAACATTGGGATGTCACTGTGCAGACTCAAAGGCCCTTTGGTCCCTCTCCCAGGGACCATACATCACAGAAATCCTGTGTTTGCAAACACAAGTTTCAGCAAAGGCTCCTTCCCCTTAATTGAAAAATTTGAAGCTGCTAAGGTGGCATAGAAGCCAAACTCCAAAAATGGCCTGGCCTTGAGGTATAGAAGAAGGTCTTGGGGCTCCATGCCCACACTCAGAGCATGGCTTTCCACCCAAGTCCTCTCACCTGCCACTGTAAGAGCCTTGAGTGTCCTCGGAGCCCCGACTGCATCCAGGAGAGACAGCCCAGGGCAGCTCCACCTCTTCAGTGAATGTTTCCTGGATGTTTGATAATCATCAACACCTGGTCAATGATCTGGCTTATCACAGCAGGGAGCCCAATCCCTTTCCCCTCCTTGATTCCCCAGGACATTAGCCCAGAGAGTGATAGGCAGGATCTCGAAGAGCTCCAGGTCCTAACCCTGAGGAAGACCTGAGACCCATCTTCCCAGGTTTCCATCAGTTCATCTCCCACTTAGTGCCTAGTGGGCTCTGTTGTCCATCCTCGTCCCTTCTCACAGCTGCTAGGAGCCTGGAGAATGCACCCCTCACCCTATGCTCTGTCATCCATCAGAGGCCAGAGTCCAGTTTCATGGCCTGGCACATAGGGACCTTGACATGGTTTTCTCCCTGCCAAGGCTCTGTATGATCCAAGAAAATGCATCGTCTGCAGTTCCCTGCCCTCACCTCACCTTCTCCACTTCAACGCCACTCCCATCCCCACATCCCTTCTCTTTCTCTTCCTTTGATGTGTGTGGCTAATCCCTACCCAGTGGTCAGGGACAGCTCAGGCTCTGAACACCATCTCTGCAGGCTCACATAACACCCAGGCATCCACAACCCTGCCTGAGCAGGATATGCAGAGGTGCCCAGACACTGGTGGGAATCGGTGGGGGGTGGGGGAGGGCAGTGAGGGTTAGGTATGATAATGGTATTGTGGTCATTTTTTTTTTTTTTTTATAAACACATTGAGGTATTTATAAACCAAAAAAAAAAAAGACCAAACCAGTTGCTACCAAGGTGATTCCAACTCATGGCAAGCCACCCAGTTTCAGAGTAAAACTTTGCTCCATAGGATATTCATGGTTGTAACCTTTCAGAGGCAGATTTCCAGACCTTTCTTCCAAGGTACTTCTGGGTGAGTTTGAATTACCAGCCTCTTGAGTTGTAGTCAAATGTTTAACCATTTGCGTCACCCAGGGACTCCTCAGATATTTTCTGGATTTGCTTAAAATAATGCAGAAAGGGTACGTGGGGTGGGTGTACAGATTAAAGATTGGCTGCAGTTGATGATGGTTGGAGCTGGGGGATGGATACCTGGAAATTCATATTACTATTCTCTCTACTCTGCAGACACTGCTCGATTTTGATATGCCCAGAATGGGGGGAGGGGCAGGAGCAAAGGGGACTGTGGGTAGGGAGGAGCTAGACCAGAGAAGTGAGAGTAGCCAGGGCAGGAGGCACCTGTTAGATACTCCACTGAATACTGGAAATAAGTGAAGTCCCATTCATCCATTCAACAATTATGTGTGACGCACTCACTACATGTCTTGTATCACTTTAGGCTTGGAGCGATGTTGCTGTACACCTGATAAGCACCACTGCGGAATGTCTGGTTGTTTGGGGCTGTTGGTCAGAGTTTGTGCCAGAAAGCAGGTAAATATTTTGCACTGAGGATGTAGCTAACACAAGCAAAATAAAACAACAAAAAGAAAACCTTCCCATGGAACTTACATGCTATTGGAGGGGTGCTTCCCTTTCAAATATTGGCTTACTCTTCTCTCCATGTTCCCTCACCTCAGAGACCATGTAAACCCCTAGATTTATACTCTCATGTCTTCCTGAAGCCAGCATCGCAATTATAATCAATCACTTATTTGTAATATTTATCTAATGGCTATTTTGGGTCAGGCACCGTGTAAGCCCTTGAGACAAGACAGAGAACCCGGTGGGCATAGGTTTTGACATTTCTGAGGCTCCTTGCAGAGCTCATGGCCCATTGGGAGACAGAGGTGCCTCCTGTCAACCAAGGCAAAGGCTTAAAGGAAGATTGTGCAGGCTGCTCCAAAGGGTAGAAGGAGGGCTCCCGGGGAGAACATTTGGGCAAAGATCAGAAGGAGAGAGGTAGGGCTGAGCCAGGCAAGTGAGGGAGGCATTTCGAGCCCAGGAACAGAAGTATGAAGACCCTGAGGCCGAAGGAAGCCATGGCTTGTAGAGGGAACTGACCAAACTGGCTGATGTGGCTGGAAGCAGCCAGAGAGGGAGATATTGGGGCCAGATATGGCTGGCAGGACAGCAGGATCTAGTCATGCAGGGTCTAAAGTCGAGGTTTAGCAGATTGAACTCAATTTAAAAAGCAGCAAGAAGCCATTGAAATTTTTTCAGCTGGGGAGTAACAAGACCAGAAGTGTGTGTGCGAGGGAGAAGGATGAGGAACGCAAGTACACTCACCTTTGTGTGTGTGTGTGTGCATGTCTGTGCATGTGTGTTTCAAAGTTAAGCAAGACATTCCTGTACTAGGTTCCAAAGAACAGTTGTGTATTCCTAAGGAGAGTCTAATATTAACGACTCCAGTAAAAAAAAAAAAAAAACACCAAACCCACTGCCGTCTACCAAAACCACACCCTTTGTTGTCGAGTTGATAGCAACCTTATAGGACAGAGTAGAGCTGCCCCACCGGGCTTCCCAGGTGTGGCTGGTGGATTCAAACTGCTGACCTTTTGGTTAGCAGTTGAGCTCTTAACCACAGTGCCACCAGGGCCCCATCCCTGCTGCCAGCTGCTCTGTGGGAGTAAGATGTGACTGTCTGTTTCCCTAAAGATTTACAGCCTTGGAAATCCTAGGGGGCAGTTCTACTCTATCTGCAGTGTCACTATAATTCCAATTCATACCCTGTAGGAAAATGTAGAACTGCCCCCTAGGATTTCCAAGGCTGTAAATCTTTAGGGAAACAGACAGCCACACCTTAGTCTTGCAGAGCAGTTGGTGGGCGACCTTTTGTTTACTAAGCCAGCCTTAACAACTGCGCCACCAGGGCTCCTCCAACAAGTTGAGGAGAAACTTAATATACAGGCTGAAGGGCAAGACAGTCATGGTCTGTTCCCTGCATTCTAGCCGGGGTTCTGTGGCTTCCTCAAAACCCCATGCCCTTGGTTTACACTCAGGCTTTTCCCAGGCATTTCCTCCTGTATTTTTGTGGCTTTCTTGATAGGAACCTGAGTTTCCTTTATCAGAGTTGAAAGATCCATTTATTCGTTGAGCAAATAGTGGTTGAGTGCCTGCCATGAGCCAGGCCTTGTGCTTGGTCTAACAGGCACCAGATGTTTGAGGCATGGCTGCCACCATCAGGAGAGTATACCAGATGGGGCTCTGGGAGGAATGTTTGGTGGAGTCACCCAAATCCAGAATAATTTTATTGACACGCTGAATTTGACAGTTAGAACGTTTATACTGCAAGTTTTGAAAACTCACCAAAAGTTGGCTTAAGTAATAGAGGTGATCTAATGGCTTATGAAAGGTCCCTGGGTGGCGCCAACAGTTTGGGTGTGACTACCATTCTAAAGGTTGGTGGTTCGAACCCACCCAGTGGTCCATGGAAGAAAAACCTGACGATCTGCTTCTGTAAAGATTACAGCCATGAAAACTCTATGGAGTAGTTCTTCTCTGCAACACATGGGGTTGCTATGAGTTCGAATCATCTCAATGCTAATGGGTTAGTGGCTTATGAAACTGAAAGGCTTAAGATTGGTTTGATGTAGTAGTTTTTCTGCTGTACTGTGTGCAGTTTGAGCTTCATCCAAGATTGGCTGACCTCATAGGATGCAGAATGTTCACGAGCCATGAGTGAGGCTGTACGTTTCCTTGTTCATAACAAGTAGGAAGTCTAAGGCTTATATCCCAGCCTTTCAACTGTCAGGGAATGTCAAAATGGACTTGTTCATTTTCAAGTTTACTCACATTTTCTGGGGAATAGATGTACATTTCACAAAGGAGCCCCAGAAGGATTATCTTAAAAGGAGTCCTGACCTATTCCACTCAAATGGCCTCATATTGCTTCTATTCTACCGTCTAGTTAGTTCACTGTGTAGTGCTGGGGTCTTAAAAGTTTATGAGTGGCGATTTGAGGTACAATTGGTCTCTATTCGCCTAGAACAACAGAGGAAGGAGAATCGGGAGTCACAGGAGGAACTCGAATTCACGTCTAATTGCCACCATGAACCATTGCCTCCTTGGCCAAGGGACCAGAACTGGATAATTGCTGGATACTATTCCTGAGCAT